TTGTTGATTTCTACTATGTAATCTACAACAAGTGATTTTGATGTATTGAAAGATCTGAATGTCACTTATGGAGACTTATAAGTGACATTCAGAAGAGTTAGACTTGTGAGACCATATGATTAATATGATACATCTGATGGTTATCTATTCTTCTAAAAAAGGTTATAAATTCCTAAATAAGACATCTTAAGGAGTGTCATATTGGAGGCATGGCAGGATACATTGGCAGGGACGTCTCTTTCCTTGGTGAAAGAGAACTTTTATTAGTCTAGATTGGTACAAGATATAGAGCAACATTTCAGACAATGCATGTATGTCATTTGGTTAATATTGGAGTATAGAATACATGTTAGGGTGATTTTTGAATGGGAGAGGGGTGTACAAACATGTATTCTATGCCCACATTCAACGAGGGGTGTAAAAAAATGTATTTTATGCTCGTACCACAAGAGTGTAGAGGTTTTGGAGGGTTACAACAGCCTCTGGTTCGTCTTTTAAAATATAGACACATGTCATTCGAATGTGGTCATCAATTAAGGTCAAGAATCACTATTTATTGGTGCAGTTAGGAGTGTGAGAAGGACCCTATATGTCATTTAAATGAGGGAGAAAGAAGCGAAAGGTGTGTAAGTGTAAGGTGGGTAATGGAACCAATGATGTTTGGCCAACTACATGTCTCACAATTCAAGTTAGAGATTTTTATTAGAAAAAATCAAAGAATGCAAAATTTTCAAATATTGAAAACCAGGATGTCCTAAATGACAATGTAACAGCAAGACAGAATATTCAATGACTCGAGATAAGCTACAACTTTTGAGTGTCGTGTTTTCACTCTTCGTATTCTCCTCTTGGAAGTAGTAGAGTCTGGCTACCCTCTTAGCAGTTTCAATCATCCTCCCCAAACAACAATCCTGAAAAACATAATCATTATAAGAGAAATTAGCAATGCAATAGATATCACATGTCGACTTGTTGACAAATAATAAGTTATATTACAATCGGGGAACAGATAAAACAAACTATAAAGTTAGATCAATAGTTAGTACAACCGACCATTTACCAACAATGGGACTATAGAATCCATCACATTGACAATTCTAACGGTATATTTTTCTAAAGCACGGACACTAAGTCAAGAAAGCTTGCGAGCAGCCAGTCATGTGATATATGACACCTGAATCAAAAATCCACTGACTAAAGAAGGAATAAACTGAGAGTCAAAGAAAGAGTACCTTGTAGGACGTGAGAGGTTGACAAACCCGCAAAGACTTGATTGTCTCTAAGAAGCAGGATCAATTGCTCTATCTGATTTTTTTAGGGATTCAAAGGACTCTGAGATGTTGTGGGTAGGAGTCCGTTGAGTCGTTCCTTGTTCAACCGTCGCTGTGAGTCCCTTGACAGCAGAGGATTTGGTTGAAGGTATGTATGTTGGCTTAATGTGAAGTTTCCATTACTTATCCAAAGTGTGGTTGGGCTTGTGACAGTAATCACAAATAGGGTGACCAGTCCATGATGGCATGGACGAGAACCGAGCACTTTTTGAGATCAAGGTGAATGATTTGGCTGAAGGGGTGGAAGTGTCGAGCATGACAAATTTCTTGCTTTATTTTCGATGAATCTCGGTGAAGATTGCACACGTAGAAGGAAGAGGATCTCGACCAAGAATACGGTCTTGGATTTCATTAAGGTTTTTGTTAAGACCAGCCAAGAATTGAAAAATGCGATCCTTTTCTACAATCTTCTGGAAGAGAGATAGATCAGCTGGAGAATCCCAAGTATAGTCGTAGTATAAGTCGCATTCCATCCATCGGCTGGAGAATCCCTGTTTTGCCTCCCGAATTTTCTTATATACCTCATAAAGTTGACTAGAATTTCCTATATCCGAGTAGGTATCATGGACTGCCGTCCAGAGGGCCTAACAGAAGGGAGGAACATATATGACTGACCAATTGAAGTCTCCATGGAGTTGATCAGCCATGACATGACAATTAAGTTCTCTGATTCCCAAGCTTCATAGATCGGTTCAGTGTAATCATAACTGTGAGGTAACCAAACTTCTCACGTCCTTTGATAAACAAAGACACCGCTTGAGACCATTGGAGAAAGTTATTTCCGTTCAATTTATGTGTTGTGATTAAGAAATTCATGTTGGTTTTTAATCCTGCGGTTTGCAAGTGAGCGGAAATTGGAGTCGATCCTTCGGTGGAATTAAGAACATCTTTTGAAAGTGCTTCGGTGTTGTAGAAATCTGTCATAATTCTGACTGAGCCAAATGAGATGTTGTTAAGGTTTTGAACCATCAAAGAATTCTGGTAGGGTTAACGACATAAGAGGTTGTAGGATTTGTGGTTGGATCAAGCTGCAGAAACAAGTCGCTGCGATTTTGGAACCTGCGGGCTATGTATTTTGAACCTGCGGCTGGAACATAGGGGTGTAGGTTCCAAACCAGTGGTTAGAATTAGACAGGAAGCTGCTTGTACAACATGAGACTAGTTGTTGAAACCTACAATTGGAATAGAACTCGCGGTAGGAACATAGGCGGCGATTGTTGAAACCTGCGGCTACTGAAAACAAATTCCACAAGTTGTGGTTATTGGAACAAAATCTACGACTTGAACTAGTAGAGGAAGTTGAAATAGCGTAGAAATCTTACAGCTAGGAGGTTGTGGCAGCTAGAATGGGCAGAGGCCAGTGGCTGCTAGATCTAGGATTTGGCTATGATACCATGTTGATAGTTGGAATAGAGCAGCTCAATATTATTGATAAGATGAGGGGTATTTAAACCCAATTACAATAGACACAATGAAGAAAAGGAATAAATCAAAACAAAACAACTAGAGAAATAAAATAAAACAGAATAAGAGAAATAAAATAAAACAGAATAAAGCAAAATGGGAAATATATAATGAGGAAATAAGAACAAATAATAAATAATAACAGAAAGAGATTGTCATTATAATGTAATAGATATGCACTAAAATTTAAGTTAGTTACCCCAAATCTAAGCGTTCTAAAGAAAAAGCAACAAATATAAAATTTCAGCAATGAATTTAAGTCCTTGCTACAGAAAAAAATCCAGGATACATGACACTAGACGAAATTTCAATCATACACACAAAAGAAACAGCTAAATGATTTAAAAAAGTAATAATAATACAAATCACCCCAAAATGTAAGAACCAAACCTCACATTGATACAAGGAATTTCCCAATCGATCATCCACACATATAAAACACACAAAGAACTTGCATTCAACAAGTACACACACACACAAAGGATACATATTAGATTTCAATATTCAATGTACAGTGATTTTTTACATATCGAAAGGGTCATATTTCTAGTCTCCAAATCACCAAAAATAAGAAAATGCACAAAATTTATCAAGTTCTACTAAAGATAACAAGTTTCAATTCATCCCTCTTGATTTTCAGCAATATAAAACATCTCATAAAGTCCAATTCTAAAACCGCGTGAGAAAACAAGCAAAATAAGAAAGCAGTCACCACGAACATAGAGGTGGCAAGAAGCAAACACATGGTTGTAGCTAGAGGAGTGAACAGCTCACAAGAGTATAAAATGGTAATAGTAACCTAGCATGAAAAACAAAATAGTGCAAGAAAGTAACATGCAGTAGTGGGAAAGACTAGAGGAGACAACAGCTGAAAAGGGTGGTGGACAACAAAAGCAGCAACAGGACGAGGACAACAATGGCGGACGGCAATGACAATAATAGGGTCGCAGTAGAATTACATCAACTAACAACATCATGAATAGTAAATTGTAAAAATACCTATGAAAATAAAAATAAATTTTAGTAATTAGCAACTACATATGTGTTGATTGGAATCCAATGAACTGAGTTAAGAACATGCCAAAATGAATAGAGTACTCAAAATACACATCTAGATCATAAAAGAGCCAACAACAAGGAAATGTTTTACACATAATAAACTTAAAGAAAATAAAATACATCGCTACAAAATCTATAAATTAACATTTTCAATGATTTTGACGCAAACATACTTTCAATTTTCATCACCTTTGTCTCTTGTCATGTGGTTTCCATTCACCTTCACCTTTGTCGCATCTGCTTCTACATTCCTCCCCCTCTCTTGCTGATCAAAATCCCTCAGTTAAAGAAATTACCTCCTCCATCCAACTCCAACCAATAACAACCCCACACCATTCCACCCGATTCCTTCTTCTTTGAAAACCTAGAGAAGCTCAACCCTTCATTGATAATTAAGTTTGAGCTCAAAACACAGACTTGAATCAAGCTCAACCAATAAGCTTCAACTCAGGAGGATTTAGACAAAATCATTTCATCCCCAGAAAAGGTCTCCTTCTGACTATCGATGGTAACAACAAAGAAAGTGAAAGTAAATTGCTCATTGCTTCCAGAAATTTTAAACTTAACTTGCACATAAACCGAGACCATGTTTCATATAGTCAAATAGTATTTCAATAACCTACACATCCATGCCTAAACTCATATAAAAAGGAGAAAATAGCTCCAAAGCATCACTTAAAATAGTTTTCATCAAGATGGGACAAGAAATATTTAAACACACAATATGAAATAAATGCTAGAATACAACACAACAAAGAAAATTTAAGCATTTTAAAACAAATACTTAATTTGATCAAATTTCAAAATAAGTTATTTGATGATCAATTTTATGCAGTATGAAAACTTATTATCCAAATTATCCATATGATCCATTAACCAATAGTGATAAAAATAAATAAAGAGTAACAAGCACTATAAAATACAGTTCAACAAGTTCATACTAAGTTCTTAAGCTGATAATGCCAATAAGGCCATTGATCAAATCAGGCACATTGCACTGCTTGCTACTTTTTCTAGCAATAATGTGATGGCTGGGAATTAAGCACGATTCACTGATTTAAGGTTATGACACAGAATACCATGACACCACAGGTTGCTTATACTGTTAGGTAGTTTTCTTGAATATCAATAGGATGAAACTTTCACCTCATTAAGCTTCACTGAAAGTTCATCAAGCACTTCGAGGCGCTTTTTTGTCCTCTGCAAGGCTAGCAACAGCTTCTTCTTTTGCATAAGAAGCTCCCTGGCTTCATTTTCTCTGCTACGGGCAACCTCCATGACTGCCCTTCGTTGGAGATTCTCGGCTGCTTCGGACAACCTCATTAGTCGCAATCTTGCATTGTTTTCTGCGAGAGAAAGTAGTCATTTTCAAGATTAAGAACACATTTGAACCCTCATGGGCCGCTTAAATTTCCATAGGGGGGCAAAAATGAAAATTTCATGAGAGCATGGCAAGATTAAAGAACTGCGACAAAGAAACCAAACCCAAAATTAGCAAATTCGAAATCGTAAGGTATTCCAATTCTGAGTAAAGCCCCATACAGTTTCAACGATGGCATGGTTAATCGTTAATATCAAGCTTCTCCGTAATTTGTCCCGAGTAATATCATCAATCAGTCCAGAAACTCAATTTAAAGCAAAGCAAATGAAGTAGCTACCATAAAACAGTTTTGATGTAAGACCGCCGGAATGTAAGGAAGAGAAAATGGAGGACCTTTTGACCTGGTGATCTCTGCCTGAGAATGGAGTTGATCGATTTGGAGCTTCAGTTGCTCGATATCAACTCGAACGACGCCACCAGTGGAAGATGCAAGCGTGACAGGCGTTCCAATTCTCCTCCTTCTCGCATTCAGGGCAAGCATCCTCACGGGCATCGCTGTGCCTAAGCCCAAAATCATTTCTGCAATGGAGTTCTCCCTCTGCTCTTCAACTCATTCCACAGACCACTTAATACCAGCAACCTTTCCAACGAGTAATTCGCTGAATGTAATGAAGTTTTGTCTGGTAAGAGCTTTAATTAATTAAATTTGTCCATTATTTAACATGCATAAAATTCCATTCATAGTAAATTACTTTTTATCTCAAAATAAAGTCAAAATACTTACCCCATGAATCACACAAACATTCCAACAAATGAGCTAAAACATTCTTTCATGCCTCTTTCTAGTGATCTCAAATCTATGTGTGAGTGTTCAGTAGCAAAGCTTCACGATAGTGTCTGTGGTAGCGAATTCCCGAGTAATTAGTTGTCATTTTAGATTTTATCATTGCATGAAAATTCAGCACACACTCATAGAATAGGAATAATTGGTGGAGACGCTACAAATATTTAGGTGAAAATCCTGAATATGGGAAAAATCATAGGATATGATCCAGCTGAAATGATCAATTGTGTTGGTGCTTACTCGTGCAGGCTATTGTTCCGCATGCGGGAAAGGTTTACACGGTTTCTCGAATTATAATATTTGTGTGCAAACTCTTTGCCCCCGAGGTATGGAGTGGTTGTAATTGAAGCGAATGTCGGGAGTTTAGAACACTATCTCTAAAATGTTTCGTGGTGTAGCTTTTGGGATGATGCGCTAATCTGTAGATGCTTCATAATTATGCGATTCTGACTATTGCTTCGCAACATAGGCCTTGACATGATAATGTGCTACGCTACAACGAGTAGAGGGCAGCTAATGGTGGTCGACGGTGGCTAGCGAGTGATAATCGACGGTGGTCCGCGGCTGCAGGAGTGGGAAGTGATTATCTAATTTTCAGTTCAGAAAAGATGTTGGAATTCAACTCCTTTTTCTCCCAACTCCAATTTTCTTTTGGCTCAAGGTTTAGGTCCTCTTTCATGAATGACGTGGGGCTCCTATCAGACGGTCAGGAGAGATTTCATTGATCGGACAACGTTTGGCTGACAGTTGAATGTTTCAATGATGTCGATATTAAGTAAAGTTGGGCTCATTGGATTCATCTCATGGAGACGTTGGATTCAATTATAAGCTTGTTAGATTTGGAATTTGTTTGATTTTTTTATTGGGTATTGAAATTTTCAAAAATGGTTTAACGGCTTGGTCGGGGATTGATTTGACTAGTATAGAACCAACTTTAGTATTATTGTGTTCATATCGTCGAACCGCTCAATTTGGCTCTAAGTTTGTTGAAATCAGACTTTTGGACAATCATTAATTGAAATTTGATAAAAAATTACCTTGAGATCTTTGCCGAATGATGCAAATTTGTTGATGACATATGAGTTACCCCTCTATTTTCGGGAAAGACAATTTTTTTTTATGTGACTCTGAAGATACATTTAGCTGGGTTGAAGCTCATGTTGTAACAATGAAGGAGTTGAAAACATTCTTCAAGATGAGAGACATGTTGGGATGCCTCAAATATTTTTACAAGCATGCAAAACTACGTACACTTTCATTTTCTACCCGAGGAGGTCTTTGAATACCTTGTTCATGAGATGTTGGTTGGTCACGCCACTATTATTTAACTTAAATAGCATGGCTTGATAATAGTATATACCCTTGTCTGTTTAGAAGAAGGTGGCCTCCTTGTCTCACATATTCATTTTTATCAGATTGTTCGCAGAGTAGGCATCCAAGAAACTAAGTCTCTTGTGTCCAAATATGTCATCAATGCATTGATCTACGTGTGGAAGGTGAAAACTATATTTCTAGCTAATCTTATTAAGGTCGGTGTAGTCAACAAACATCCACTCAGTTATGTTAGCCTTCTTGACCATCACGACATTTGTCAGATACATAGGGTGGTGCTCCTCTCGTATGAATATTTTTTTTCCAGAAGCTTGTTACCTTCATATTTGATGGCTTGTAGGCAATCCTGAGTGAAGTTGCATTTCTTTGGTATGACAGTCTTGAGGTTGAATTCACCTTTAGAGAGTATGTGACTAATTATCTTTGGGTTAACTCTAGATTTGTTATCCAGGGTACATGCGCTTATTTTTTCTTGAGAAGATCTATGTATTCCACCTTTGCTCATCAAATAGAAGGGGTTGTCATCTGAGAGTGGAACATGGATCAAATCTTTCTATGGGGAAAGCACAATGAGATACATCCTTATCTTGAAAATCAAAGTTTTTCATGTTGAGGTTCATCGATGAGCGTAGTTATGCTTGCCTGAGGTAGCATGATTGTTTCCTTTTTTCTCTACATGTAGCACCAATCCTGACTAAAGTGAGGAATTTCAACTTCAGGTGTGGTGTGGATATGATGCTAATGAAGATGGACTAGAGGGCTTCTTAAAGATGGCGTTGTATGTTAATTCTGATTTGACGTCTATTAGGTGAATTCTCATATCACAATAGGGAGATTTATCATTCCTTTGAACCTTACTAATCAGTTATCAAACTCATACAATGAACTAGATGCAAGTGAAATTTCCCTTAGTCAACCTCCTACTGAGGAAGGTGAAGTAGAATATGACGTTGGTTGAGCTGTCATTATCAATTAGGATCTTCTTTACATTGAATCAGGTTTCACCAAGCGAGGGGAATTGGACTCTCTCTAGGTCAAAATCATAAGAAATGATGAGCTCGAAGCATGATATTGTACGCACTAGTTCTCCAAGCGCGGTGATTAGAAGTTGGTTAGATAACAACTATCCTTCTATAATTGTTTGAATTTCTCCAACAATTAGGTGATTCCCATGTTTTTGCTTATGTGTTTGCTTTCACTTGTGGGAGATTTATCGATGCGAACAAGCTTGTCTTGCACAAATCGACCCAAGTACCCTTATTGAATCAATCTCTCAATTTCTTTCTTGACCTACTTGCATGCTTTAATGGTATGACCATGACTCTGGTGGAAGCAACCACATTGTTCCTAGTTCCCCAAGTTAGGTTTCAATGCATTGTTCTTGAAGTCCAACATTATTTATGCACTAAATATCCGGAGAGCACTTCTCACTTTTGTAGTCACTAACCATCATCGACCACTATCAACCACTGTTAGTCTGCCAATATCAACCACCATTGGCTGCCCTCTACTCATTGCAGCAAAGTTTTGTATGGTGTCAATATTTACATTATGAAGCGACAAAACACTATTCAAAGTAACGACAAAACGTTGTATAATCATGAAAAGCCTTATGGAGCAATGCATCATTCTAAATAATGTGGCATGACTACCAAACTCTTAGCAACTGCTCCCACTACAATTGATCTATACAATGGGAAACAAGCTCTTTTTTACACACAATTGTTGTAATTTAAGAAATTGTGGAACCATTTCCCACTTGTGAGAAAAGGACATGTATATATAATCACCAACTCATATTAGATTGTTTCAATTTGGCTAGACCATGTGGTTTTCCCCCTTTTGGGTTTTCCATGTAAAAACTTTTGGTTTCTCTACATGCTATCTTTATTCTTTGAGTATGTGTTAGGTTTTCATGCAATAATGCGTCTATAATTTATTACTATACTGCCACAAATTCTTTAGCATGCAATATTTTGGCACTATCTGTTGGAAAAACAATCCCACCATTGAAGTGCTTGCAGCACTTATCGAATGACCACTAAATGTAATACTCATAACAACATAGTATCTTGCTCCAACACCCACCATTCCAACGGGATAGCTGTGAAGCCAGGGTGGTCAAGACTTTGCATCTTCCCGCCTTGAAATATGTTACCATGCTAGCAAAGGCTCCTTGGGTCCTTCTATGGAAGATTGAGTGCACAGGATGGAAAAGTTTCAACTTGAGATTTTTTACCTCATAAGTGAAGCTATATAACCACTGGCGAATATAAATTGATTAAATATGCTTGTCATAAGGTCAACTACTAATGATAAATGGCCCTCTTGAGCATGCTTATACTCGACCCCTTTCCTACGATGACAGAACTCTTTCTTTGTTAGGTCAGGACGATGAGCTCCTTTCTCTCCTAGCTCCAGTTTTCCTCTAGATCAAGTTCGAAGTCACTTTTAATGAAAGCGTAAGGTTCAACATGAAATTGTGGCATGATGATAGGTTTCTTTTAGATATATCCATTATATCAATCGTGATAAGAAGTGGGTGGTCGAGGCTCCATATTTTGACATAATTTGGAGGTTTTTTTTATTGTTCTCTAGGCAATATCTTAGAGTATTGAGTCTCAGTCTATTAAAAAAATGTGCAGTTTCAACTTCCAATAAATTTAATTTTTTAGTCTTCATCCTTCCATTAATTTTGGTACCTATAATGCCAATGATTATTCTTCTACCCTTGAGAGTCCAAGTAAAACTATATGGAGAAATAAGAATGCGAGAATAATAAAAAAAAGATAGCAAAAGTTGTTGAATAATTTAATGATGTGGTTTTGGAAGAGCTTATCTTCCCATGCATGTTTTGGTCTAAATTTCATCTTCAATCTAGAGTGAGTGGGAAAGAAAATGCAAGGCCCATTGCTCAACTCCTCTACTACAATTAGATAGTTGCAAGTAGGTTACTCAATGTCACCATGTGATAAATCTTCTATGATTTCTCAATAGGTTTTTATAATCACTAAAAGATTGCTAAAAAGTCCTTAATAAGCAAGGAGGTTATTGATGACCCATCATTGAGCCTAAACTTCTCATTCTCAATTTCCTCTTCTCGCATAATGGTAGGTTTGATTCCATTATTATGATCAATTGTTTAATGGTGTAGAAAGATGGAAAGGTATACCTAGCAAATGACAATGACATTTTAGGTTAATCGATGTTCCACTTCTCTTAGTAATAAGAAGGGTAGGTCTAATTATAGTATATTTCTCTATGATTATTCAATGTTGATTTTGAATATGAGTTACCCATACATGAATTTCAACCATAGCAATATCAACATCTTCATATATCTGAATTCTAACATATTGTTCTTCCAACTCTTGAAGTCCAATTAGTGGCTATGGAGTAACCCTAACCATCTAGATTAAAATATTAGTCTAACCTAGCCATTATAAAAATAATTATAAATTCTCTAAGGACAAAAGATTTGGTGATTCCAACATTTTCCATTATCATTTCCAAGCAGATTCACACACTTTAGCCATTATCATCAATAGATTTATGCTTCTTTCATATCTTGAAATCCTATAACAATATCTTAAAATTTATTTCATATCTTCAAATTTATTAAAATGCTACAATAAAGTCTTCAACAAAAATTATGGGGTATTTACAAACTTGAAATAATCAACGTGTTAATCATTTGTCAAATTCATGTTACTAATCATAACATATGTGCCAACCATCAAAATGAAATTTATATTCACTTGATTTATTGAATTTCATCATAGAAATAAGAGGATTGTCTTGTGTTTAATCACCTTTTGTTGGTCACAACAAAACTTGATTGAAATCAGTATTAATTCACCATTAAGCTCAGGTCACCAAAATACATGAAAGCTCACTTAAAAGTTCAAGTAATCTAATAATATATAAAACTCTTACTAAATATTGAGATCACTTGAAGTCATCAATATCACTTGCCCCACTCACCAAATGAACCCACTCATCAATATTACTCGTCAAATCAAAATAAAATTGTTACAATTTTCATCAAAACTCCTTTATTTATAACTTATCATGAGTTAATCATGTATTATAATGTATACAAGTTAGAAAGACATCCATTCTACAATAAATATTAATTAAGCCATAAAATTCAATTTATCAAATTTATTTTGACATAATATCTCTTCTAGCTTTATATTTTTACCAAAATATGTAAATTACGAGTAGAAGGATAAATTTTAATAATTATAAAATTCTCTATTTTCTTTCCTTTATAAAATTCTCTATTTTCTTTCCTTTTTTTTTTTTGACATTTTCCCCAACTCATATTTATTAATAAAATTGTTTAATATCACCAAGAAGCACATAGCCGTCAAAACCTCATCTAACGGTTAAGACTAACGCTCAAAGCCCACCACCCTGCGCAGCCGCAAATCTCGCGACCCCAGCCGTGTATCTTCCGTTTACACGATTCGTCTTTGCCCTAGTTCTTGTTCTTCATATCCTGATTTCCTTCTCTTCCGCGATATCTCTAGGTTTTTAATTCTCTATACCAAGAAGATATCGTTTGCAATCGTTCAATCGGAGTATCAGTCGCCATGGATCTGGAGGTGCAGGGTCGGCACGCGATGCTTTTTGACGACGATTCGACGGCGTCTTTCGTCAACTCCCGCGAGGCTCTCGTTCCTTGGAATCATGACGCATCTCTCCTCATCGACCGCTACGACGTACGCCACCTCCTTGACCGGATTCCGCCGCGCCAGGCCACTTCTACGTGGAGCCAGCGCCTCGTTGACGACGCCTGCGATGCCGGCTCGCTGGATGAGCTAGACGGCGAGCGATATAGAGATCTTCCTCCTCTTGGGGATGAGGAGAGAGTGAAGCTTGATTCAGGTCAGTTGAGAATCGAAGGCAATTAGATGTTATGCCTGGATTTTATTTTGATATTCATATCTGTGTACATCTTCTGATTTTTCATTGTGTTCGAGGGCTATTACATTAGCGGGAATTTCTTTTTTTTTAATTTTTCGTTTTGGTTTAGGACTTAATTATTGAGATTTTGTAGCGATGGAGAATTAGGACGGATAAAATATGATCTGAACTTTGTTTTCAGTTCCTTTCTAATTGCCCGTAGGTGGTTTTTGGCTGCAAGTAGGATTTAGTAAATCTGTAAATTATAAATTCATTAAATCCACCCCATCCCTCCGGTTTTAAGCCAAATCAAAGGCAAAATTTGGGACCCTAAATCCATGAAACTCCTGGATTTAGTAAATCGGGCGATAAATTTTATTAGAAGCGCTGCCAAACATCACCTTATGCTTAATAAAACTAGGCCTAGCTGTTCCATTTAATAGATGTGAGGGGCGACACTGTTTTGTTTAGAGTTTGAAGTCATTCATCTCATGTTTTGTTTAACAAATTGAAGGTTATGGCGAAGGCAAAAACAATCTCATGGAATGGCAATTTGAGTTCCTCACTTGAAATGAAGACTTTTCTTCTGTAGGCTAATTTGGAATTCTTAACTGGGAGCAGCAAAATCTTGGAAGAAAGATATTTTTTGGAAAGTACTGATTGGAATTTTATATTTAGCGTAGTCAGGTTTGACAGAATGTTTACTGTGGCTGAGGCCATCAAAATGTAACTATTTTTTCTTATTTTCATATTTGTGAATTTGGTGTAACAACTAGCTGATTCAAGTTAAAAAACAAGCGATTCTACTGCTCATAAATAAATAATTGTGATATGTTTATATCTTAACTGCCATATAAACCTTGAAGTTTTGCAATTTAGTTTGTGAAATTAGTAGGGGCTATTTGTGTTGATGTATTAGGATTGTAGAGCAAAAAAAAAATTAGGAATTTTAACTTTTGCGGTGCATGGTTGGAAGTAAAATAAATCCAAAACATTTCTATAAGGGCTTGTGAATACCTCCAACAGCTTTTTTTTCATGAGTTTGAAATTCTCTTGAACCAGGCAAATTTCAAATTTTTTTTTTGCTTATGATATTCAGCTCACCCTATGCTTCTTGTGCTCACTCACAACTCTCAGCTCTCTCTATGATTGTGTACTTTGCAATCCCGCACTTGCTCATGACCTTTAGCTTTTTTTGTGTGTGTCCATTACCTTCCCATCGCTTTTTCACAACTATTGGCTCTCCCCATGCTTGTGAACCCTGACGTCTTAAAGCTAGCTCAAGATGTTCGGCTCTTTCTGAGCTCTTGTACTCTGGCGTTCCCGCCAACATTGTTGGCCCCGATTGGCTTTATCAAACTCTCGATACCCTAGATCCATTTAAAATAAAAAATAAGTTAAAAAATAAATTAATATAAAATATAGATTTAAAAAAAAATATTTAGTTTTTATTTTATTTCCAACCAAACGCACGAAAAAAAAGGTTTATTTTATTTCAACATAACATTCATGAGTATTCTAAATACTTTGTGTTATATATGTACACTGCATTTAAAATACACATGTATTCTAACTATTTGCAAACAAATAGCCCTTAAATATCTTTCTTTACCTACAAATGTCAGGAGAGCATTTGGAGGCTGATGCAATATCACTTCTCTTTATTGAAGCCTTTTTTGTCGTATTTATGTGAGAAAATGAATGAACACACTTTGTATTTTAATTCCATATTTTATAATCCTGTTGGAATATTCAAGTTGTTGGCAGCTATGTGCCATAAAGGAAATAACTTTTGAAATTATCATTTTTTTCCTTTTCTTTTATTTTGAGACTTTTTGGCTAACCTAGTTACTATGAAGAGAGCCTAATTTAATTAAGATAATGGTGAGTTCTAGCTTTTAAGTTTGCAGGAAAGGATGCTTTATTTACTTCATGATCCTCTCTGACACTGTCAAGTAAGAGGCTTCTATGTACTCTTGACGTTTTTCTTAGTAATATGCTATTATCTTTTATCTGATATTTTTTGACATTTTACAACCTTTTAATGATTGAAAGCTATTCATTATTCCTTGCAGAGTTCGGGAAGAAATCAGAAGCAACAGGTTTTGGTGCTTACCAAGCTGTTCCACTTTCATATGGTGACCAAAATTCAAATTCTATTAATGACAGTACCGAGTATAATTCTGGTTTTCGTCCACCATTTGAAGTGCCTGAATTCCTCATTAACCACTTAGTAAGTGAACATATGCATTGTCATCATTTTAGTGCACTTCTTTCTTTGCAGATAATGATTGCAATGTTGTTTGTAGATTCTTATAAATACCTCCCAGTTGGCAAAAGCAATAATTGTTCAAGCTGCATTTGTTCTTCTAAGGCTTACATTGTCTAAATTTCAGATGCTTGGAGAAGAGATGAAGTATTACTAAGGTTGCCATTCATTGGCACTTGTTTCCTTGTGATGTATCATGACGTAAGGACTAGGCAGGTGGGATTAGAATAATATGTGATATATGCAACAAAATTTACCAAATGGGATAAGCATGCTTTATATATTTTTGGAGAATTATATTTGTCTTTATTTTCTTCAATTAGTTTTTTTTCATTGCTTTTATGCTCTTTTATTTTTATTCAAAAGTATGAAGACGTTTATATTTTTCTTGTCTCTTTGGCAGCCTCCTACGGAGAAGTTACACCAGATAATGGCGAGGACTGCAACTTTTGTAAGTGAGCATGGTGGACAATCAGAGATTGTTCTACGAGTTAAACAGGGAAACAACCCAACATTTGGTTTCTTAATGCCAGATCACCATTTGCATCCATATTTTCAATATCTGGTTGATCATGATCAAATTTTGAAGCATGATTCTACTAAAATGGAAGAAGACAAGTCAAACAATCATACTTCTGAAGCAGGGGCTTTGTCACTGCTTGGATCTATATATGGTAATGGAGATGATGATGAGACTACTCCTCAAACTGAGACTAAAGAAATAGAGCACGATAATTTGGTCGCTGTTGGGAATGCAACAGCACCAATAAAGGTAGAAAATGGTGAGGCTCCTAATGTAGTTTTAGGAAATAAAGGAGTAATAAAAATGGCATCTTCTACTTGCTCCAATGCAAAACCTTTGTCAGTTAAGAAAATACTTTCTGGAAATGCTGCCACTTTTGGTGTGAGCAAGAAGACAGGAGACGGTGATCTTTCATTTGCAAAAGATATGGCACAAAGTTCTCAAAAAGGCATGGCTGATCTGAAATCATCAATATTGAAGCCTCCATCCTTTCTGAAAAGGACCATAGAAAAAATAGTTGAGTTTATTCTTAGGAATGGCAAGCAATTTGAAGCAATACTCATTGAGCAGGATAAAAATATTGGAAGATTTCCATTTCTTCTTTCAACCAATCAATACCACTCGTACTACCTGATGATATTTGAAGAAGCTCACAAGGTACTTATTTTCTTATGAATTATATAGAAGTTGTATCCATTATGCCGTTGTATCTATTTTGGTTGTTATTCTTATATTTGAACAATCACTTTATTGTCTGGCTTGAATTTTGAGTTTCTTCTGTTAATAGATGGTGGCTTTTCAGGATTGATTTTGGCATGCGAACCTGAATTTTTAATTTGCAGGACATTGCTGTAGTTTAGAAGCATCTCATTCAGCTGTTTATTCACCTTAGAAGTTCCTTCAAATGTTGTTTTCTATTTTATAGGACTGCCCTAGTCCAGAGATCAACCATGCTTTATGAGTTGTTGCATAAGTAGGATCACAAAATCGCTATTACAGGTTCCTTGAAATAAAATTGTTAAGGCACACAGGAGTACTGTTTAGTTCAACATAAGATGGATGAAAAACATGTTATAGAATATTGCAACGTGAGCCCAAATGTCTCCTTAGGTCTTGGGTTGAAAATGACTTGGACTAATGGTGTATTAAACCCAACTTTGATCAGTACTCCCTAAAAAAAAATTCAACACTGTCTACTACAAAATAATCTCCTGTTTTTTGGAAAAATTGGGAATGGTTTGACATGCTTAACTTCCAACTGCAGTTTTGATTTCACCTTCAGTATGAATTTTATAAATCTTTTCATATCTCATAACCAAATTTCTTCATGTTAATTAATATTTTTTTGCCTTTTGCAGATGAAAATGCAAGGTAAAAACTATTTTGATGAGAAAAATGATGCAGAGCACAATGAAGGGAACAAGAAAAAGGTTGAAAGTCATGGAAGGGATGCTAATGCAGATGATCGGGACTTGTCTGAACTTTCAGAAGGGGCTTATTATGACCCTCAAAGGAAGGAGAAGTTCAAGATGGTTTTGGGTGGGCAGAAGAAAGATTCACAGGATCAACAGTCCATAGCTGCCAAGCATTCTGGATTAACAGCAGATGAAGCTGCTGCTATTGTTCTGGCAGCAACAAGAGGGGTAAGTCCTGCAAATACCCTTCGCAAGAAATCTCTTGATGATGGCGGACACTCCTCTAAAAACTCAGGAGCTACTGCAGACGAAGTTGCGGCTATAATTAGGGCTGCGACCAGAGGCAGGAGTCCTACTAATACCCCACTAACATCTGGCAGTTTACAGGGCATTAAACCTATTTCAAAGATGTCTTCCAATGGCATTTCTGGTATATCATTGGCTGCTGGGTTATCTGGATCCTCCCCCCAATCTGATAGAAAGAGTTATCACAAAGCAAGCAGTGATGTAACAGTTGCTACAGTCATTGCCAAAAGTGTAGCCCTTGCAGCATCAAGGGAAGCTGATTCGGCTGAAGCCGGTCTGACAAAGGAGCAAAAGCTGAAGGCTGAAAGATTGAAACGAGCCAAAATGTTTGCATCTTTGATAAAGAATGGCAATAGTTCTTTAGGTGAACAGGTGAACTCCTTTAGCCACCACAGTGGAAGTATGGAACCTTCTACTGGTGGTTCTATGCAGATGGACACTGATTCCAAGACTGCAGGCATTGAAAGAGAAGGAAGCTCAGTGCCCTTTGATGATGAGGCCTTAGGTAAGGAGCACGGATCTAGGAAGAGACGCCATTCAAGGCACGATGACTCCGATGAAATTCATAAGTTTAGCAGGAAGAAATACCACTTGTCATGCCATAAGGATGAACAAAGTTTTAAACATCATAATCACTACAGCTCCTCCAAAGATGAGCGCAGGCACAAACGAAGTTCCGAGCATCGTCATCATCGTAAGATTCATGATCATGTATCGGATGATGAGGATATAGAACATTCTGAACAGCGTCGGAAGAAGCATCATTCTCATTCAAGCAGAAAACAAGAGAGCGAAGCTCGAGAGGCTATCAAGTCCATGGATTGTTTTGGAGGCCCATCAGTTGACTTGACCGGTGATTCTGATGGGAGAGACTTATCAGCTTCCGATGATAAACAAACATCTCATCCTACTGAGATTCCTAATGATCTTAGGGCGAAAATCCGAGCTATGCTGTTGGAGACCTTGTAGTGTACATATGCTTATTATATATTTGTTCTTGTTTACATGTCTGGAATGTTTGATTTGAATTAGCCAATGTGAAGTGCATTATTTGTTAGTTTCAAGATGCATTCAAAATACTTGTTCGACTTGAGCTGTTTGGATGATTTAGTTGAGTAAAATGATGCAATTTTTACAAGATTTCGTCTAGGGTTCCAAGTTGTACATTGTTTTTTTCATTTTTCTGATTCATTCTTAACTCTATTATCTTTTATCTAGGAGGCATTTTGCTGCTCACTGGATCAGGAATCGCTATACTTGTCAGACTTCTATAACGGCTGGTAAGGAGTATGAAATATGTACTGTTAGGCAAGTTTTGGTTGGATCTTGTTTTATTAGTGGGTTGTGCCATAATTCTGAAGAGAGGACTGGTAGAGTTGAATTGAAAAAAGAATAATCTTTAATAAGAACTAATTGCTTCAGGAAAATGGGATGGAGTGGAATTGTTGGATCTTTCTTCATATTTATAGGTAGAAATTTGGGATCTTGAGGACTATAAAAAGGGTTGTAAAAAATTAGATATAGATTTTATAAAATTCTAAAAACATAGAGAAGGCATGTAACTTAAATAGTGACTTAGTGTTTGTTTGAGATGGTTTTCTATTTGTTATGCATTTTAGACCGTTATTATAGTTCTATTTGAGAAATTATTTTCATGGTGTTTTTTAGAAAATTTGTGGAGTGTGGTGGCCCTAAGAAAATTATTGACTAATTTTTTTGAAAAAAATAATTTATAAATCTTGCCCATATTTTTTAAGAAGTTTTTTTTTTT